AACAAACAAATGGGTTGTTAAAAAATCGGGTTTTTGGGGTTTCAGGCTTCCAGTTTTTTTTTTTCAAGAATTATGGGAAGAACTTAAAAGCTGATTTGTTGTACTTGTTCTTCTTATTATTATTTTTTTCTCTTTAATCTCTTCGAAGCGGTGTATACTTTGACATTGTTGATTTTGATTCTTTATAACTGTGGCTAGTGCTTAATTTTTTGCTGTGATTTTCTGAATCAATGGCTAGGCGCCATGGATGGCAACTTCCTGCTCACTCATTTCAGGTCAGATTCTATTACAGTGTGATTGGTTGAATTCTCTGAATGCGGGTGTTCTTGGTTTGGTTTTGACTCTTGAAATATGGCTTCTTCTTGGCTAGGGATTTCGATTTTGCATTATTATATATAATGCCAATCTATGGTATGTTAACTTCAAATCAGATGATGCAATATATAATGCGTATTCAGAGAATGGTGGAAAACAATTTTGTTGGGTTAAACTTCAGTTTGTTGGACCTGTTTCATAAATGACTTCAATTAGAACCAAGTCACATTGTTTTCAACAATGCTTGCTTTCTTTCCTTCTTTCTCTTTCTTTTTTTTTTTCGAGAAATTAAAATTTATAATAAAATTTAAGATCTTTGGAGTTGTTGGATCTTCAATCTAAATTGTTTCTCCCTGGTTCTTTGTCACTATTAAAGTGTAATTATGATATTTGGACTTTGTAGGTGACGAAGTTCTGTCAGTTAATAATAGTTGAAGTTAGCTCTCATTAATCCATAGGAGATTACTAATATCACTTCAAAAGAAATACAAACTTCCAATTTAGCTGAGATGTCAGTTTACATGCGGCACTCTATTTGCATAACGTTCACGGTTATTGAGCGTATTCTCCTACTACTGATAAAAGTTGTTGTATTCCTCAAAGTTGTCACCTTAGGGGTATACTGAAATGCTAGATTCTTTCTAGTAATGTTCACAGTTTTGCTACTTATCCAGATGCTAAAGCTAAACTACTTCATTACCCTTGCAGGTTGTTGCTATAACAGTTTTTTGCCTACTATCCGTTGCTTTCTATGTATTTTTTGCTCCTTTTCTTGGAAAGGACATCTATGAATACTTGGCCACGGGCATTTATTCCTTCCTGGTATGTGCAATTAATTTCACGTAACTGTTAAAATGATAGTTCATTTTTTTTTGGTTAATCTAAGGAATTTTTGCTTCTTATCATGATAACATATTAACTCCAGGCGCTCTCGGTATTGATACTTTATGTTCGGTGCACGGCTATTGATCCTGCTGATCCTGGGATTCTTATTGAACCTGAAAAGACCTCACCTCGTACGTCACATGTTGGGACGGATATGCATGGTAAGTGATAAGTACAAGGAAGGTGATTAGTGTCTTTTGAAACATGTATCCTTAATAATATTGATGCACGATTTGTTAATAACACGGAGTGAAAGCACAATATCAATTGCATGGTCATCTGAACACTATAAGGTGAACAACTTTCTTTGTGTGTGCGTTTTTTCTTTTCTTTTTTTTTTTTTTTGTGGGATATATTTACATATACACGTAAATACTGAACTCTAACTATCTTGTCGGTCTTTAATAGGGAATTCATCTATGAATGAGGAGCCTACTACAAAAGTAGGATTGAAGAATGGAGGCAAATCTTACAGTCATGATACAGGATGGTGCTCAAAAATCGCAGGTTGCCTTTGCTGTTTCATTGTGAAGGAGGATTGCCGAAAGAATGAAGAAACTCCACAGGAACCAAATGGCGAAGAGGAAGCTTTGTTCTGCACGTTGTGTAATGCTGAGGTATCGCATTTCATAAATTTACCATCTCTTTTCTTAGGGCATGCATGAATAAAAAATCTAGTGACAGCAGCATTTTTATTTGTTAACTGGGAGAGCTCCTTGGTAGAAATTTTGTGAGCTTCCATGTATCAATTTTCATTTCATTGTGAGCTCTATAAGCAATTTGAGTCACTTGATGAAAGAGAAAATAATGGAGCAGCTTTTGACTTCATGGATGATGAAATGCTAATGAATCATCTTCATACTTTTTTAGAGTCTATGAAGTAAGTACTCTGAGGTGAACTAGAACTAGGTAGGGTTCGAATTTTAGTTAAGGTACGATGAGAGGCAAGCGGGATTCAAGTAGTCGTCAAATATATTATCTTTTGTTTGGGAATACATTTTTTAATGCAATAATTGATGTTCTCGTGCACATGGATTATTTAAATGCTGCAAAACACTATTTTGAGCTTTCCTTGAAAGTTCAAATGCAACCTTGCTATTGTTCCTACTTCTAATTCGTTTATTACTTCATTATGAAAACTAATTATATTTGAAAAACAACCTAGACCTCATGTTTCTTGGCCGCTCTTCTATAGGTGCGCAAGTTCAGTAAACATTGCAGAAGCTGTGACAAATGTGTTGACGGATTCGATCATCATTGCCGGGTGAGTTTAAGTTTGAGCTTGAAAAAAATAGAGGTTTGGAATTTTTATCATGATTTGCAATCTTCCTGTTGCAAACACATGTATTTTTTATAAGCGACAAACATTCTCTTTCAATTTTTTTGCATTGCCATCATAGGTGTAATGGATAAATGCAAATGTGGCCTTTAACTGGATATGATGGTGTAGTATAATCCATGTAGCTGACCCCATGTAGTGGAACGAAGCCTTTATGTTATCTTAATTGTTTGGCAAACATCGTGGATGACTTCTGGCTAATCCTAGTTTGCTGATCCTTTGCAGTGGCTGAATAACTGTGTGGGCAGAAAAAACTATATCACATTTATATGCTTAATGGCTGCAAGCCTTCTCTGGGTATAATCTGTACTTAGATCTTGTTTAGCCCATTATCATTTATTTTTACCTTCTCTTACTATCTGTGCCTTTTCTCTTTATCGACCAGATCTTTGAACTTATTCGATTGGGGTTTTAATCATTTTTTTTTTCAGCTTGTATTTGAATGCGCTGTGGGCATTCTTGTCCTTGTTCGATGTTTTGTGGACAGAAAAGCTACTGAGAATGATATTATTGACAGGCTTGGAGATGGGTTTTCTCGCCCGCCTTTTGCTACTGTGGTGGTATATTATTTTACTCTTTGCTCACACTTAACCATATGACTCTCTTTACATTTCCCGATAGGAGCTTTTCTAGAGCCAAGTACTGTTTCTACCTGTGGAGAGGAGCCTGGTTTTATGGTTCGACAATAATATAAAAGGGCTTGTCCATCCAATAATACAACAGTACAGACCACGATCCATTGTGGAAATAGCAGTCTGAAGCACGAAACGATATTACAATGGCCCGATAAACTAATATTTCTATTATGTATTTCTTTCTATGAAAATACTACACACATTTTCAAAAAGAAAAAAAAAATGTTATGCTGATTAGTATATTGAGTTTTTCTATATAACAGAAAAGAAGCAACCAATCTGTATTGCCAAAAGCTATGGTACTAAATGAAAGATTTTACTTGATTGTATACCCATGAAATGCAGTAAGGTTGGAGGCTTGGAGCATGTGATGTCGTATCTTGGATAAATTGTGTGCTTAGCTTCTAAATTGCGCTCGTCGACTGGAAATTGTTTCACAGACACGCAAATAATATTTGATTTTCTTCTGTTTTCAGGCTGTGTGCACTGCCGTTTCTCTTCTAGCAACTATGCCTTTGGGAGAATTGTTCTTCTTCCATATCATTCTTATCCGCAAGGTGCGAATTTGGATCCTTATTATTGCCTTCTCTTTCCTTCTGTCTGCATGAAGAGGCCTTCTGCATGTTGTTTGCGTGTGTGTGTGTGTGTGTGTGTGTGTGTGTGTGTGAAGGTAAAATACAATCCTATGTGCTATAATAAGGAAAGGACCATTTGTAATTTCCAAAGAAAAATGTGTGTTCTTTCCCTTATTTTTGATAATTAAGCTACACTTGTGTGATTCTATTATAGTTACAAAATTTGCACCCATTATGTATGTGTAGGGTATAACAACATATGAATATGTTGTTGCTATGAGAACACAAAGTGAGGCGCCTGGACCTTCGGTAGACGGAGGAGACCAACAAAGTTTGCCGTCTTCACCAACAAGTTCAGCTGTCACTGCCATTAGTGGGAGAAGCTCTCTCGGAAAGGGGTTGCAGTATAAAGGTGCTTGGTGTACTCCACCTCGCATCTTTATGGATCATCAGGACGAGATCATTCCTCATCTAGAGCCGGGACGAGCCCCATCCACGGTCGACCCAGATGCCCCACAGCCCGACAAGGGAAAACGTGCGGTCCAACGACCCATCCGAATCAGCGCGTGGAAGCTTGCCAAGCTGGACTCCAACGAGGCCCACAAAGCCGGGGCCAAGGCCAGGGCCTCATCATCCGTCCTACGGCCCGTGGGCTCCAGGCCCCACCCCCATGACCCCGACTACGTATCCAGCACCACCATGAGCATCAGGAGCAGTCCTGTTAGCGGCCGGCACGTGTATTACGAAACTACCCCCAAGGCCGGCACGTCGAGGCCGTCCCCAGGAAAGAGCTCATATCCACCGAGCCGAGCCAGCGCCGACATGTGGGCCCGCAGCCTCAGTAACCTGAGCAGCCCGCTCGCGGTGAATCTCAGCCCGTCGCCTTTCGGCCAGGAATCGTCTAACGCGGACTCGATGTATGTGTCGCCAACCATGAATTCGCCGGGGACCAGCGGCCCGAAGGAGCTGCCGGGCCTGGAAAGTGGGCCAAGTGTTCCAGTGAAGAAGAATAATCCAGGCCCGGGGGAGAATGGGAAATCGTCTGTGTATTGGGATGCGGAGGCGGGGCGGTTCGTGTCGGCAGCCACAAGGAGCGTGGGCTCATCATCGTCTTTGGGGACGGAGCTGACGTACACGGGGCAGTCGATCTTCTTTGGGGGCCCGCTTGTGAGGGAGCAGCAACAGCAGCAGCAGCAGCAGAGGGGGTCCGCGTCGAGTTACTATCAGCAGGGGAGATCACAGCGTGGCGGTCAGCTTCCTGTATATGTTCCCAGCGAGGCTCACAACCAAAATCAGT